TACCTTGAACTTAATCCAATCGCGTGTTTATTCCTTGTAAACAACCTGCATTTTATAAAGTATTTCACACACAGTGGGCAAAGGTCACCTAGGCAACAACCAATCAAGGAGCCCTCTCTCAAATATTATCCTTTTCTTTTGTGAAATGTATCTTCAATGGTCGAGATCACAATATATCTTTGGTTAGAGTCTATTGGAGATACAGCAGAGTTTCAGTTTGATTTTCGTAGTAGAATGACATGGAATTATATTTTTCAGGCATCTAACTGTAGACGAATAATTTTGATTTTCTCTCTGGTAGAGGAACGGCAGTAAGCGTGGTCTCTTTCGCAACTATTATTTGGTCTCATCACGCTACGCGCTCTCTCTCCGTCGGGGAGTAGATGGCGTTGTGTGACGAGACCAAACAACTGCTGCGAAGGAGAAAACAGTAAGCGTGGCACCGATCCATTTTATTTTTGCTTAGAAGTATTTAGACAATAGAGAAAATAGACCACAAGATACCTGTGTGAGTTAAGCTAAATTACCTTTTTTCTCTCTTTCTCTTAAGGTGAAGTAATGCAATATTTTCGATCTTTTATAAAGTTATGCTCTTTTTCTGTTACAAAAATAAAAACATTAGGTACACAAAGTGTTCCATCTCATCCCACCCGGTCAAAAAAAATAAATCTTGCATGCTACGCATGCCTATGTTTTTACTTGGAAGCCAGAAAATTCCCAATAAACTAGTTTAGTGCAAGTGACATTAATCCATGAGTATCACCTTGCTTTCGTGAGCTGTACTGAGAAATATTGGCACCATGACATTTCTATACTGCCGTAACCTTGGGCCAATATTCCCTAGTAAAGACTCGTGCTCGGATGGTTAGTAAGAAGTTAGTACTGGCTTTCGAAAATGTGATCTACACTGTACATGTATCTAAGGCTATTTTGAATTCCAGAACAATTGATTTCCTTGTTCCTCTACATTTCTTGAAATTTTTTGTACGTGAAGACTGCCAGCAAGGATTTTATGATATTTGAAAAACAACTAGTCTGTATTATCAGGATAGTTAAAGTTAGCATCAAAGACAAATCAATTCTGTGCACAAAACAGTGTAAACATGAAATGATTGCAAAAACAATGAGTTTAATATACATATACTGGTAAACCACAAACATCAGCACCTGTACCAAATTGAAATCCATATCAACATACATCAGCATGCATTAGTGTATCTATTTCATTGTTTTTCCTGTCATAAGTGTCCAGTTGAACTAACAGCCAGCTGCACACATATGGATGTCGGTTCAACTGGAGGAAATTGAATAAAAAACTTACACATTTTGTAAGTTTTGACCAGTAATCCCTATTTAAAAATCAGCTAAGAGAATTTTACTTTGGTTTTGCAAAAGTTGTTTCTTATGAAAAAGAATTCACCATAAACTCTCCCCTCTTGTGGAGATATGGTGGCCTTATGATTAGTGAGGTGGAGTCAGGGTCAAGAGATCTGCATTTGTAACCTGGCCAGGTCATGTGTTTTGTTTTTGTGCAAAATAATTTACTCTCATAATACCCCTCTCCACCCAGGAGTATAAATGGGTAGCAGAAATTAGTCAGGGGAACCTGATGAAATGACAGGAGGGAAGAGGCAGGGGGGAGGAGGGGAGGGGGGTAACCATGGGGTGGACTGTCATCCTGTCTAGGGAGGAGTAGTAATACCTAGTCGCTTCATGTGAGGAATCCAGGACTATAAGCTCAGGGTCTGGATGGGCCACTGCTTAAATACAGACTTTACCTAACTACCTACTACAGCCTCTAGTTTAAATAATTTCAATTGCTTCTGTTACAAATTATACGAACTTGCAACATACAGATGATGATTTTTTGCCCAATTTATCTCAGTCAATTAGGACTGTCTTTTGTAAATCTTGAAATTTTCAAAAATCCAGACAGAGGCGGAGTTTTCTATGCTAATGTCTGAGCACTTTGTAGGCTTCCCGCAATCTGGCGGGACGTGTAATTAAGCACACAGTGGTAAAGGGCCCTTCGGCAGTAGCTACAAGACGCTGACAAAAACTTTTTCTCTTCACCGAAAATCATATCAAAATTTTTCTTTGCTAAATTTCAAGTGTGCTGCACGTGTCAGCACCCCCCGGGGAACCCCTATAGATAAGAGGGCGAGGATGCGCGCCGGAATTTCGAAAGTGACCCCTATAAAATTATAAAAGGTACCTGAGTCTTATCTGTGTGGGAGTGGTAACAACAGATATCTACCCCTATAAAGTATCAATTTAAACTCAAAAAAATTGAAAAATCCCAAAACTGAGAACTTCTTTATCGATGTGCTCTAGAGGCTCAAGTCAGATCATTAAAATCGTCCTAGTGCTTACTAAATGCTTATTTCAGGTATTTTATCGAGCGAAAAACATCTTAAAAGGTACCTGCTAGGTCTCTGGCAGTCCACTAAAGTTGGAGACACCATAAAAGGTACCAGATCACTGATTTTGACCCCTGAAAGGTACGACAAGCATCCTCACCCATTTCTGATCGCCTCCTCCCCCACCTCCCCCACCAACCCTGTCAGCACCTAAAAACAAAAGATGTGATTTGCCAACTACAAGCTGTCAGTCTCATACCTCGTAAAATTCACGTAAAGTGGTTATTTACTTATAAAAACTTTAGGCACTGATCTGTCAGATTTTTAGATGAACTCGTTCTTAAACAAAACTCATCCCGATATCATGTAAAAGGCCCCAAAGAGTTTTTATTCCCAGAGCATCATGCTTTTTTCCCTGCCAGAACACTATAAATTTCATCGCGTTGAAACAACAACCCGCTTTGAACTGCTACGCTGCCACTGAAACAACGATTAGTGACCATAAAAGTAACATACTGTCATATTGTCAATTCAACATAAACAAAAATCTTCATACAGGGTAAATATCCATTTGTGTTGGTATCAATTATTGCGTGACTAGCTTCTAATATAACTGGGATAGGGGAAAAACACAACGTAAAAGCTGAGCTCACCGCAAAAAGTAATACCCGAGCGTAATATAATGACCGAAACAGTTATTGGTCTTACAAAATCATAAATAAACTAGGTAAGAGTGTTGCGTTAGATTTTTTTACAAATTGTAGTGATTTATGCCTCGATATGTCAATAAAAGGTGGCGACAAGTAGGCACACCATGTATATTTCATAGTCGCTAGCAAGTAAATTTTGCCGGACTTTGAGTTCGTCTCACAATAGAACAATTGCACAAGAAAATGTTTACAGTAAATTTATAACCATCCTTTTTTCTTTTAAAAGCTAGAAGCTCAGTAGATTTTGTCATATCGGTCGTTGTTAAAACTGTCTTTGTTCTGATGCTACTTTTCGACATGGAAAAGGTATGTCGGACAAAAATATTTACCAAAAAATAAATATTTCTTTGCCATGCTCAATAATGTCAGGGGATTGAGTTTAGTTGATAAAACAAAGGATTATGCCGACAGAAATACCGGAGGTCAAGTAAATTCGTTACATGAGGTCACACAACTCGGGTAATATTCAGAGTGAAAATTTGCATATTTGAGCGGTCCAACGAAAAAAATCATTTCTCAAAAACTGAAATGTATTTTCACAAAAAAACTACACCACAATTATTAGGACATATTGGGCTACAAAATATGAAAGTAGGAGAGAAAACGAATTTGGGTGACTTGCCGCCGTTTGTCTGATGCATGTTGACATTAGCTCTTAATTAGCTTCTGATTTTGTGTCTATGTATCCCTCCCATTCTCAGAAGGGAAAAAATATTTATTTTGCAACTGGGTCATATGTTGAGCTGATGTTTATAACCATTTTCAATCACCTTTTTTTCAGGCTAGGATGACTTAAAAGAACAACTTTGTAAGAAGAATCAGTCTTCTAACAGTTGCTATGGCTACAGGAAGAAGTTCAATTAAAGTTCCATGTGAAAATGAAGACTTACCTGACAAAGAAAATGCACCAAATTTTGACGAGGACACTTTACGAGGTTAGTTAGGTTCAACTTCGGCTTCAGCAATAGTTAGAACAGTTTCTATTTGATCAGGATCAGTTTCAAGAATGTAAGCAGATGTGGAGAATGATATTAATACACTGCATGACCACTTTAAAGGATATTTGGCCAGTCATGACTCTCTTTTATGATTACAATATGCTGTTCATTGAGAAGATCTATGACACAGAAACTTTTGCTATTTTCTTTTCTAACAGTTCAAAGCAATAACACAAAGTTATAATAAGTTAAGACTTTATTTGATCATCATATAACATCCATTGCGTAAGTTTGCATCATGGGTACCATCATCATCATCACCATCATCATCACCATCATCTTTCTATTTTAATGAAACACAATCACTTTGAAACCTTCAACATTCCCTCTCTTCTCCTCGAGCAACCCACAGGCATTTGATCTTCATCCAAGCCAAAGAGGGTGGGGGGGGGTTTAACCCTGCCTGACTGGCGTTTGGGAATTTGAATAAAAACTGTCACATCTAATTTCCAGTAGAGTACAAGTGTTAATTATCATTGAATATGGAGGTGTTTAAGGTAGATAGTGTACTTTCACTAACAAATGGCTCAGAAGAAATAAGGCTTCAAGGTCTAGGTTCTAAAGCTTGGTCAATTATTTTTTAAAGCTTGATCAACTAGTTGAAAGTCAAATTGCTAACTATTTCGCCTTTTACATAAAATTGTGTGGGGCAATTGAACATTTTATTAATTTTGCCTAGGGAATGGGAATTTTAGGAAACCTATCTCCAAAAATTTAAATGCCCAGGGGTTTGCCTCAAGTTGAGTGATGCTTAATTCTCATTGTTATTCTTACCCATGATGTCACCTACATCATTGGCATCATCATAACTATTGAAAATCTGCAGATTTTAAATCTCCAGATCTTGGCAGCTCTGATTATACACTAATAATTATTAACTACGACCACAGACTTTGACACCTATTTTAAAATTTTTTTTCCAGTTATTTTATTTTTTCTTTGCAGCCACAGCTGATGTTTATAGAAATGAGGGTAATGAAGCCTTCAAGAAAGGAGATTTCATCAATGCTATTCATTTTTACACCAAAGGAATTAAAATGAATTGCAACGAGAAAGAACTGAAGGCCAAACTGCACAACAACAGGGCTATTGCACATTCTAAACTTGGTAAGATGACGAGAGCTTTAATAGGCATTTTTTTTTCTATTTTGAAGCTATTGAGTTGTCAGTAGTAGTTTTCTGAAAAAGGTGATAATTTTGAATGCATGCCCGGAAAAATTTAGATCTTATCTTGGCCTCTCAAATATACAAAGAAGTAACCTCTTACCCCAGATATCAACAAGCATCACAAGTTTTTCTCAAAATTATAGTAATGGTAGTTGGTTTGTAACATGTATGGCTAATCAGAGATATTTATTTCAATAACAGGAAATCACCAGGATTCACTAAGGGATGCAGAAGCAGCCATTGAGTTAAATCCAACTTTCCTTAAGGCAATTGTGAGAGGTTAGATATGTTAGCCGTACTATAATAATAATAATAATGATAATAATAATAATAATAATATTAATAATAATAATAATAATAATAATAATAAAAGAACTCAACACTCTAAGGTTAAATGAGGTTAAATAGAGTTCAATCTTGTCTAAATGGACTTTAATTAAGAGGTCGAGACCACCCTGATGTACATTTGAATCCAGCTCTTGACTGCTACGCCATTACTTCCATTAATCATGATGAGAATATTATTTTGAACGGGATGAAGAACTCAATGCGGAATGCAAAGCAAAATTTCAGCATGAATATTTTAGTTCCTTAAGTTCAATGAGTCACTGGTGTCAGATATGTTAAGAGCGTGTCCACGAGAGCACCGGGCAGTCGTGCTACATGCCATCTCACCGATTTCAATGAAACTTTGGCAGTTTAAAGGGTCTACCCCAAAACACAAAACGACAAACTGGTTTCTGTTTTGGTTTTTTTTTCCGGTGGGAGATAGACCACCCCCCCCAATTTTTCTTGGTTTTCACCAAGGAAATCGCTTCAAATAGGTAAAATGTATGAAGCTCTCACTGCGATGGTATTTGACTGATTACTTTGAGGATTTTCACACATATTTTTACATCCTTAGTTAATGTCTGCTGCGAGTATCAGTCAGTTTGATCGACGGCTTGTCAATCAACAGAGGCAAATATACGACTGTGTTTTTAGACTTTTCGTTTCCTCTAAATATTTTACAACTTTGAGGTCAAATATCACCCGTTGCCAGAAAGCTACAACACTAATCTTAATTACCCTTTATAACCCATCATTTCATCTCTGAAAATCATAAAAAAAAACCTTTGGGCACTACCGTATTTTTGTCTTGGATGCCTTTTAAAATCTGCGACTGTGACAAGTTTCTCTCAACTACACCTGTCACGCAATTCTTGCTCTAGGCGGTCACTTTTTAGCTCTTTATACAAGATGATTGATCAAGAAAGGTGAAAATTGTGAAAAACTTTCGAGAAAAACTTTCGAGAAAAATGTAGACGAAAAATCAAAAGGAAAATCGTAGCGTTTCTTTCTTCGGTCGTTTATTACTTTGAAGATTTGCTAAAATCAGCAGATATGGCTTTTGTACGGCACAAAACATTCATTATTTTCTATTTTCATTAGTCTCTCATTTTAGGAGATTTTAAAGTCACATGCTGTGTGTTGGCTGATATTACTACATGTTCCAGTGTGCTACAACTTCGGCTTTCACAGACGAGAAATTCTGCGCTCTCGCTCGAGAGCAAATATCAATAGTTCTATCGGACTAAAAACTGTGCTTCTATCCCGAAAATAAAATTAAAATAGTGTTGTCGTTGTCACTTACCGCCATCGAACATTTCCATGCAGAACTCCGCTAAGCTAACGTCTGTTGTGTGACCCAAAGACTCTCCGTAGGAATTATTCAAGCGCGTTGTTCATGCTATCTGCTAGATAACAATTTCAGAATAATCTGCAGATCTCTATGATTATTTGCCTGCTTCGATCGTAAAATATCTGCATATTTTTTCAAGTATTCTATTACCACATATAAATCTACATCTCTCTAGATCGAGTGTTGCCGGCGTTTAATTGACTTGTAAAATTTTTAAATAAGAATGAGCCAGCAATAATTTGACGAGTAGCCTTCCTGCAAATTTCCCTTAATGAAATCCCAAGACATAGCCAGTTTTTTTCGTGAGCAAAGACAATAAATATGAGAGAAAAGTGAGATGCGAATGTTTTTTTTTTTTTTTTTTTTAGCTTAATAGCAGCTGTACCCTCTCCTGCTGTCGTCGTCTAAATTTTGCAAGGTCCCTCCTTATCTTCTGCCTTCTTCGGTCAGTTTCGAAATCTGAAGCTAGATCATTGGCATCGGCCTCTCCGTCCTCATTCATATTTATAGAGGGGGGCCTCATCAATAAACCAATTTTTGTTACGGCAGATAACCGGCTGAAGTATCGAGCGATTTGCTGCTGTATCAACCGGTCAGTCTTAGACAACATTTCTGGCTGGTGTCGTCTCTTAAACTCTCTCGATATTTGGGAAATCACATTAGAGGCGGTTGCCTCACTAGTTTCCTCCCTTGCCCAGCACACGTCTAGAAGATAATTCCCTGCTTTCTGAGAAAGGTGGCTGTTTTTTGTGTTTTCCAAAGAGCCCATCCAAAGTCCTCTTGGCCAGTTAGGGATTGTTCGTCAAAATTTTTACCTGAGGTCCGACCTCGAACGTAGCCGTCCCCTATAGAATGGTAAGCCGGTCTCAGTCCATTTCCTTTTGATCTTATCCTAGGCGGAATTTTTTGTCGGCTTCACTGTGTTTGTCTTTGTCAGGGTACATTTGGATGGCAGCCAATGACTGAAGCGTCTTGATACATCCTTATTTTAGCAAGAATATCTCGCTTTCTTGTTCCGTCTATGACGGATTGGGTATAGTTCTCGCGATGACCCACGTTCAGAAATCTGTGCACGTTGCTGATAAGCACCCGCTTCTACGACTAGTTTGCTGAAGGTTTCTAATGCGATGAGCCTAGTGAGACCCTGAGGTGCTTCAAACTATGCCAGTTGGTCTGCGCTATAAACTTGTCGCAGTTCTTAAGTCAGAGGGAGGATCGCCCACCTCTATCTATGTGAGCGCCTCTACAGTACCTGCGTATCCCTAGCAATCATATGATATAAAGTTCATCTCAGTCACAAATCACCAGTTAGGAAAACTGATGTTCAGATAAGCGCACTTCTTGCCCTTCTTCCTTATTCTTTGTCGACTCTAAGATAGCAGCTACAGTACGCGTTCTGTTTTCACCAGCTTTGATTTCTTCTGCCATCTGCAGATTCATCTCTCTCTCACTTTATGTCTCCGATTTTTATGAGGAGGATACTGGCATTAACGAACCCGAAGGTCTGAATCTCACACCAAGTTGTGCACGATATTTGAGCTACATCGTGAAATCGCGGCCTTCGTAATCTCCAAATAAGCCAATACGCGCTAGAATAAGCTCCATCTCGGACTAAATGCATCTTTGGGATACATCGATGTCTCTCAAATGTTTTTTTTTTTTAAGCTGTATACTCACGAATTTAGAGGTATGAGCTCTTGCCGTCGCTGGCCAGCGGGAGAAAAGTAACATTTGGTTCTACGGTTAGTTGCAAATGAACAAGACAACTGCACCATCTTGACTTTATCAATTCGAGTGTTAGATTGAATTGAGGGCTTTTTAGACACTCGATTTCTTATATGGCATCACTATGAAGACGTAATACAACTGATACACCTACACTACATAGGATTAACAATGTCTGTTGCGCTGTTGCGAGAAGGAGGAAAATATTACCGGAAGTGTACGCTCTTTTTAAAAAGAGTTTCAGAGACGTTTCAGAGATGTCTATCTTTGATCGGCTGTCACAAAAAAATGACCCCCACTTAAATTTACTAGGAAAAATGAACCGATACGCCGGTTGTTTCAATTTTTCTTTTTCCTCGGGCTGCTATGAAACAGTTCATAAGTGACTAATGAATAAAGTGTTTTGAAATACCGTTCGGGATTTGCCTTTTTTTTCTGCGTGCAAATCAAGGGTAGACAAAGTTTTTAAAACATTTGACTAGAATTTCATGGAGTTCACCTCGATAATTTTCGTCGGCAAGAGTCAAGACGCGCCAAGCTAAGCGACATCGCCCTCCAGTAAAAAAATTTTCCAAAGAATAAACGTGGCGAGCGTGAGGAAACGCACATTTTTTTCATCATTGTGATCAAAGCCCAATGATGTACCTAAATTGGTACTTACGGTGTCAAACCATTGATTATGACAGGGTGAGCTTAGTTTTTCTGTCGAGGTCGACATGACTTCACATTAAAAGCATTTTTTGACGGAACAAACTAGTGAGCATCACTGCACGAACTGAGAAAGTAAAAACTTGTATTTATCTCCCACGCGTTTCGTCTGACAATAGTAGACTTCATCAAGGATTTTTTCAAGCAGGGTAAATAAGCTTGCTCATAAACAACTAGTAAATAAGTTATCTCTTTACTATTGAAGTCAGTGGATAGAATACGCCAGGTGCGCCTACGGTGTTATACATGCGTGACATTTTCCGGACGTTACATGTACGAGTACGTGATCCGTTTAAGGGTCACAGATTTAGTGTAAATATTTCACTCCTCAACATCACCCAATGTCTCTAGTTTACAGAGGTCTTAGAACGTGTCATTATATGGAGTTGCCTTCTGCGGGTAGAAGGCTACAAGCGAATTTCTCAGGCGTAATTGCCTTTGATTTCTCAATTGATGTTGAGAGTCACGAGACAAAAAAACTTATCAGGACCTAGTTTCATGTTCTAATGGAAATAAATAGCAAATAAAAACACATTTTATTGAGAAATAAAGTCACAAATGACGGGGGTTCTCCGAAACAAACAATGATAGAAAAAGATTTCAGTTCTGGTCAATATTGACTTTTCATGGCCTACTTCCAAATCTGAGGGAACGTGCTGAGGGAATAAAAAAAACATAAATGTGTGATAATGCAAGTAAGAGAATGAAAATACAAATAAAGAAAAGGGAGAAAACATAGGAAACCGTGTTGCAGCGTGCAGATATCTTTTGAACCAGACCTACACACATAAGCCCGACACCGGCCAGAGAAACTCGAAAGAGTCCTGTATATGAACTAGCTCGCACTTGCACGCAGGAAAGGCCATGACAATCAGCGAAAATAATAGCAAATGCAAATGATATTTGCAGTCAAAAAACAACAAAATAAGATAACAGAAGGATTAGGAACTTTTTAGAAGTGTCTTCTTGAAAAAAAAAAAAAAATTTTTTACTTCTCATAAAAGGTCACGCAGTGACCCTACAAATACTGTTCCTATACGTGGAATTTCTTGATGGTGGAAAGTGGAAAACATTTTCCACTCTTATTTTCTGAAACACGGCGTAGTTAATGAATTTATGGGGCTATTGATATTTAACAAATAGAGAAGCCTTGACTGTGCTCTGTTCTGTTATAAAGCACGTAGGAAGCGGTGTTTCTTCCCACTTCTTGAGTGCTCTAGCCGCTTCCTAAGTGCTTTATAACAGAACAGAGCACATTCAAGGCTTCTCTATTTGTTTTATAATAAAGAATCCGTTAAATTACCCAAGCATTACTTTCAATTTCCAAAACAAACTTTATTTCCAAAGCGAACAACAATGTCGTCAGCATGCTCTATACTCTCATAAAGCACGCTACAATAAGCCAATCAGAATCCCTGTTAGAATGGTTCAAATAATCTGATTGGATGTACAAGACTAAAGCTGTCAAAAGTGTCAAACCATCAAAGTTAAAAAACCATCAAAGTTCACATTCTACGGTAGTTTACAAACTAAAATAGTTCGGCAAGTCGAACTTAACTATTTTGCCTGAAGTTTTTTAGTCTCTAATACAGAATCTTGGAGTGAAATGTTCAGTGAACTTCAGCCGAATTATGGCTCATAAAAACACTGTACAAGAGCCCTTTGTCCTGATTTTAGCAAATCTTCAAAGTAATAAACGACTGAAAAAAGAAACGCTACGATTTTCCCATTGATCTTCCGTCAACATGCATCTCTCTAAACGTGATATTTGCCATTCCTACAAATTATCTCGAAAGTTTTTCACATTTTTCACCTTTCTTGAGCAATCATCTTGTATAAAGAGCTAAAAAATGTAGGTTTATTTTGTCAAGTGACCGCCTAGTGCAAGAACTGCGTGACAGGTGTAGTTGAGAGAAACTTGTCACAGTCGCAGATTTTAAAAAGTATCCAAGGCAAAAATACGATAGTGCCCAAAGATTTTTTTGATGATTTTCAGAGATGAAATGATGGGTTATAAAGGGTAATTAAGATGAGTGTTGTAGCATTCTGGCAACGGGTGATATTTGACCTCAAAGTTGTCAAACATTTAGAGGAATCAAAAAGTCTAGAAACACCATCGTATATTTGCCTCTGTTGATTGACAAGCCGTCGATCAAACTGACTGATACTCGCGGCAACCATTAATTAAGGATGTTAAAATATGTGTGCAAATCTTCAAAGTAATCGGTTAAATACCATCGCAGTGACAGCTTCATACATTTTACCTATTTGAAGCGATTTGCTTGGTGAAAACCAAGAAAGAGCGGGGGGTGGTCTATCTCCCCCTGGAAAGAACCAAAACAGAAATCAGGCTGTTTTTTGGAGTTTTGGGGTAGACCCTTTAAACTGACAAAGTTTCATTGAAATCGGTGAAATGGCATGTAGCACGACTGCCCGGTGCTCTCGTGGACACGTTCTGAAGTCACTATCTAGCTGTTTTAAAAAGAAGGATCAGGACTTACCTAACTTTTAGTGTTTTTGTGGGAGTTGTTGATCCTAATTCAAGCGTTCTTAGAAGTTTCAGTTGTCTTTAAGGCTAAATAAATCTAACTGAAACCTAATAGGGCCTGTTTATTCTTTTCCGTTTAGTTTTTTTGTATTGTTTTGTTTTGTCTTTTTTTTTCTTCTGGTCTGTAATGATTTCAATGGTTTCAGGTTCTTTTCTCAGAATTGAGCTATATATATATAATGCTTCTTTGTGTTGCCTACAGGAGCCACTGCTTGTGTTGAATTGAAGAGATTTGAAGAAGCAATCACTTGGTGTGATAAGGGACTAGCTGTATCCTTTGAAGGAATCTTTCATTTTTAACCGTGGGTATAATGGAAAAAAGTTTCCATAATTTGATGTTTCAAGGGAGAAAATACAAAGAAGGGTATTAATTATGATGGGAACTTGTCAGCTCATATACTTTAAGTGTGTGTGATTAAAAACATAGGAGAAGTTATTACCTCATGACTTATTTGAAAGCACCAGCACTGTATGTTGTGCCCTCTTTTTCTCTCCGCTGCTCCTCATCTCTTTGTTTTGCTTGTCTTCTGTATTTCTTATGTTGATCCTGGATCCTTTTTTCAGCCTTTTTGATTCGCTCAGAGTCTCTTCTGGTGCTCTCTTTCCTGGTGTGGCCCCCAACAGCAAGCCCAGCCCTTGCCATCACCTCATGCTTTGCTGTTGCTCCTGCACTAACTTGAAGGGTAGCTGATGCTGTTGCCAAAAGAATTCTTTTCCTTCCATGCCATTTGTGTTTTGGGCATCTAATCCACACTAATGAATTGATAGACTCATTTGCATTTTGAGTAAACCCAGGAAGACAGCGTGAAAGAAGGGCAGGATCACTGAGCCTCTCATAAATAGGATGCAAATACTTTTCAAACACCGGATCTAGGTGGTGAGGCTTATCAGGGCAAGGAATTTTCTTCTTGTACCTGCACCAAGAATTGTTTGGGCAATACTTGTGTCTTTCTTTGTTTGGTAACTTCAAGCTGTGGTACAAGCCAGCCATAATTTCAGTCTGCATAACCTGGACAGCAGCATCTCGCTCCTCTACAGAGTTATTGTCTCTGTTGACATTATTTTGAATAGCTTTCCCAGAAGAGCGTTTCATTTTCTCAATTGCTGTTTTTGTTAATCGACCCTGTCTTCCTTTCACAGGCTTACCATCTTCTAGTTTTAAAGCAGTTCTTTGAAATTCGTACAGAGCCTTTCCTAGCCTCTTCTGGACATGTCCAATACAATCAAGTTTGATTACTCTATTGCAATCCACAGATCCATCAAGATGTTCATTTTCCCACTTGACATAATCTTCAGATGCCTTCCAAGTTTTGTATTCTTCACTTGATGACTCTAAAGATTCATATTGATTACAAATGTCACATGCCCCATAGTAGTTCCAAATGGCACTATAAGACTTAGAGTCTCCATCGGAAATCATAAATTTGTATCGAATGGAGTAGTCTTGACTCCTACCCCACAGACGCTTTGCAGATTCCATCTCCATGCTAGCACTTGAGCCTCCAAAACTACCCAGACAGGTATGGTTTTCAGCCCACTGTTCAAAGTCATGTTCATTTAAAGATGATTTTTTTTGTATGCAAGTGTTGCATACCTTTGAAATGACTTCGTAATCCAAAACCTTTCCAGTAGCAGCTGAGATGACAAAACCAATTCCATGGTTGGCAGTGTATCCTCTCCTGGACCATGTGCCATCAAAACTGACTGGGATGTTTACTACAGTGTCCTCATCCCCTGCACTGATCCCTTCTTCTGTCATAGCCAGCTTCCTTGCTTCCCTTCTGTTTTTCTCCAATTCAACCTGGACAACTTCAGTGTGAGCTTGAAGCAAGGCATCCTCATGACTATGCCAGGTATCTTTGCTCAAGGAAAAAGGCATATTCAATATTTCACAAAACTTGGAAACATCTTCTCTGCCAATTCCCATCTCAACGGCAGCGTAAACCACTCTCCGATTTAAATCTTTTCCCTGCACAGTTCTGGGGGCATTGTCGGAGGGATTATGATCACCGGTGGCCAGAAATTCCGACAGACCACAATCATCACAAACAGCATATAAGCTGCTACTGAGGCCAAATCGGCTTGTGCTTATTTCTCGAAGTTCTAGATGGTCTACAACATCAAAAATAAAGAAATAACTTAGTGATAACGACACAAGATGAGAAAAGCAATAAAGAACCACATTTTATGATGAATACAACGTAAATTGCGAAAGAACAAATAATTATCTCACCGGAAGAACATGGCGAATTGGAATGAATCCTTCTTGCAAATTCCACAAGACTATTAATGGACACAAGCCGGTATCCTTCTGGTATTTCACCTTTCGCATCCATACTTTCATCCGAAGAGCTTTCTGTGCATTCGACAGCAAGTTTTCTAAATGACGCCGAAGCAGCGGGCGGTGGAATTTGCTCGCTCACAATATCATCTTCACCGACAAACGTGATTTCTGTAGCAGAATTTCTCGCAACTTCCACGGGAAGTTTCTTCTGCTTTTGGACTCCCTTGAATTTTGGTATCTTTTTTCGACAACTTCTTTTCAGAACGGACTGTTTTTGTCCGATTTTTCCTCCCTTTGGCATGGCGTTATTACTACTATGAGCTAGATTCACGAGGAGTCAGCATGAACAGCGAAATGATCCCGTACTAAGCATCCAGGCCTCTTTTAAGCTTTGGAAATATACACAGATAAGTCTTGGAAGGGACTACAGGAACAAACGAATCATCGGACTTAAAAAAGACTCTCAAGAGACCTTAAAAGTGCATTTATTTGAAACGGTTGCCATGGAAACGGATCAACAAACTTGTACACGTCATAAAGATTGAACTTTTTTACCATTTTCTGGGTAATTTCTGACATTAGAGGCATTAATATTTTAAAGTTGAATAATTTTCCTGTCTAATAACGTGTAGAAAAAAAATTTGACCGAGTTCACAATTTAACTCAAAATTTCAACCAGACTTCCCCCTTAATGAAATTAATCCTTTTAGCCAATTTGACTTAGTTCTACTATCCATGCCAATAACTGGTAGATTAGTTTACATAACCCTTTAATTTCCCAGACCAAATTTGTAATTATTCTTACTGTACATGTCAACCATACAATTCTTGTAATGTTAGTACAGAGAATTCAGTATTGCATCAACTAACTATTTTAAATTGATATATCTTTTTTACTCTCAACTGATTGCTATTGTATTGCTATTGTAAGGAGAAATTCTCTTTTGGTCACTCACGGGAGTTAAAGGGTTAGAAGACTAAATTTTATCCAGTTTATACATAGTACTTGGGTAGATTATCTCTCTAAAATAAGCCAAAACAAAAAGCTTGGTAATGTTTACATTACTTATGCAGATTTTCTTGCCTTCGACCTTTTGCCACTACTTAGAGACTCGGAAACTTTCGTTGTGCTTTCCCTTAATCAACCCTCTTGCTCAGAGGTTTGGGAACCAAGCACGCAAATGTTAAAATTGACTATAACATATCAATATGATCAGAAACATAATCTTTTTTGTTTTTTCCACATTTTTTACCCTTAACATAAAAAAGATTGACAAAAACAATAGGATCTTCTTGTCGTTAAGACTTCAGTCTGTCAGTGAAGTGAGAGAAAAATCCATGGATGAAAAAGATCCTATTAGTCATGACCACGGTAGTGCAAGTTCAGGTGATGTCAAGAAAGTCATAGATCTCTATAATCGGGGAGAAAAAGCCATAGAGTACCAGAACCTACATCTTAAAAAAGCTAAAGAAGTAGGAGACAAGCATGGAGAGGGTAACGCTTATGGCAATCTTGGCAATGCTTATTTTAGTCTGGGTGATTTCAAAAAAGCCATAGAGTACCATAACCTACATCTTAAAATAGCTAAAGAAGTAGGAGACAAGCATGGGGAGGGTGTTGCTTATAGCAATCTTGGCAATGCTTATGACCGTCTGGGTGATTTCAAAAAAGCCCTAGAGTACCACAACCTACATCTTAAAATAGCTAAAGAAGAAGGAGACAAGCACGGGGAGGGTGGTGCTTATGGCAATCTTGGCAATGCTTATAGCCGTCTGGGTGACTTAAAAAAAGCCATACACTACCACAACCTACATCTTAAAATAGCTAAAGAAGTAGGAGACAAGCATGGGGAGGGTGGTGCTTATGGCAATCTTGGCAATGATTATCACCGTCTGGGTAATTTCAAAAAAGCCATAGAGTACCATAACCTACATCTTATAGTAGCTAAAAAAGTAGGAGACAAGCATGGGGAGGGTGGTGCTTATGGCAATCTTGGCAATGCTTATGGCCGTCTGGGTGATTTCAAAAAAGCCCTAGAGTACCACAACCTAGATCTTAAAATAGCTAAAGAAGTAGGAGACAAGCATGGGGAGGGTAGCGCTTATGGCAATCTTGGCAATGCTCATGACAGTCTGGGTGATTTCAAAAAAGGCATAGAGTACCACAACCTAGATCTTAAAATAGCTAAAGAAGTAGGAGACAAGCATGGGGAGGGTGTTACTTATGGCAGTCTTGGCAATGCTTATTGCCATCTGGGTGATTTAAAAAAAGCCATAGAGTACCACAACCTACATCTTAAAATAGCTAAAGAAGTAGGAGACAAGCATGGGGAGGGTGGCGCTTATGGCAGTCTTGGCAATGCTTATCGCTGTCTGGGTAATTTCAAAAAAGCCATAAAGTACCACAACCTACATCTTAAAATAGCTAAAGTAGTAGGAGACAAGCATGGGGAGGGTATTGCTTATGGCAATCTTGGCAATGCTTATGACAGTCTGGGTGATTTCAAAAAAGCCCTAGAGTACCACAACCTACATCTTAAAATAGCTAAAGAAGTAGGAGATAAGGATGGGGAGGGTGTTACTTATGGCAGTCTTGGCAATGCTTATGAGAGTCTGGGTGATTTAAAAAAAGCCATAGAATACCACAACCTACATCTTAAAATAGCTAAAGAAGTAGGAGACAAGCATGGGGAGGGTAGCGCTTATGGCAATCTTGGCAATGCCTATCGCCTTCTGGGTGATTTCAAAAAAGCCATAGAGTACCACAACCTACATCTTAAAATAGCTAAAGAAGTAGGAGACAAGTATGGGGAGGGTAAGGCTTATGGCAATCTTGGCAATGCTTATTTTAGTCTGGGTGATTTCAAAAAAGCCCTAGAGTACCACAACCTAGATCTTAGAATAGCTAAAGAAGTAGGAGACAAGCATGGGGAGGGTGTTGCTTATTGCAACCTTGGCAATGATTATTTTAGTCTGGGTGATTTCAAAAAAGCCCTAGAGTACAACAACCTAGATCTTGAAATAGCTAAAGAAGTAGGAGACAAGCATGGGGAGGGTGGTGCTTATGGCAATCTTGGCAATAATTATTGCTGTCTGGGTGATTTCAAAAAAGCCATAGAGTATTACAACCTAGGTCTTATAATAGCTAAAGAAGTAGGAGACAAATCCTTTGAGGCAAAGACGTACTGTTCATTAGGAGGCGTTTTTGAGTTGCAAGGTGGACTGCCAAATGCCGTTGAACATTACCAAGCTAGCATAAACTTATTCAATTCGTTGAGAGTACTTCTAATATCTAAAGATGAGTGGAAAGTTAATTTTCGAAATCAGTATCAAGTGGCGTATACGGGTTTGTGGAGAGTTCTTGTAGAACAAGCTAATGTAGATGAAGCCTTATTTGTTGCTGAGAAAGGACGAGCTCAAGCTCTGACCGACCTCATGGAATCCAGTTTTTGTGGTGGAACAAGTCACCACAAGGGAGAAGATGAAGATTGCGCAGTTTTAAAAAACGTTCCATCAAACACTGTCTTTCAGGCAGTGGACAAAGCTAACGTCAATCTTTGGGTTGTGTCCGAAGGAAAACAAGTTCAGTTAAGACAAAGTAAACTCAAAGGTTTTGTTTCAGAGAATAGTGGATCTAGCCTGTCCTTTGAGGCGTTCATGCTCGGTGTCTATACACAACTTGGTGTTCGTTCTAATGTGAGATGCGAGAATCGATCTTTAGATGCTTTGAGGGAGGGCCGTTCGAAAGTGGATGAGAAAACCAAAAAAGCCAAGCCTCAACCTCACATCCAACAAGACGGATGCTTGAGCACTTTGTATGATATCGTTATGAAGCCGGTGGCTGACTTGATTGAAGGGGATGAGCTACTCATTATTCCTGATGGAGCCCTGTGGATCGCTCCTTACGCTGCATTGAAGGATGGTAATTCTAAATACCTGTGTGAATCGTTCACAATCCGAGTCGCTCCATCGTTAGCAAGTCTTAGACTCATTGCTGATTGCCCAGATGATTATCACAAAAGCAGTGGTGCGTTACTTGTAGGAGATCCGTGGGTATCCGAGGTTACTAACAGCGAGGGAAAGAAAGTCTTCGAGCAGCTTGAGTATGCTAAAAAAGAAGTAGAAATGATCGGAAAAATTCTGAATATCACGCCAATCACTGGCAGTCAGGCCACAAAGCGTGAGGTGTTGAAAAGACTCAGTTCCGTTTCCCTAGTTCACTTTGCGGCACACGGATGTATGGAAACTGGCGAAATTGCTCTTACACCTGACCCAGACCGAATATCTACTGTGCCAACGGAGGAGGATTACATTTTAACAATTGGAGATGTGTTGAATGCTCAACTTCGGGCCAAACTTGTTGTGCTTAGTTGCTGCCACAGCGGCCGGGGCGAGATCAAGGCTGAAGGTGTGGTTGGCATTGCGCGCGCTTTTATGGGGGCTGGTGCTCGGTCTATTGTGGTGGCCCTGTGGGCGATTGATGACGAGGCTACTCTTGAGTTCATGAAATACTTTTATCAACAACTTGCAGGAGGTAAACCAGCAAGCGAGTCACTGAACCTGGCCATGAAAAGCCTCAGAGAATCAGACAAGTTCTGCGACATCAAACACTGGGCGCCCTTTTTGCTGATTGGAGATGACGTCACTCTTGACTTCAAGGCAAAGGAAAGAGAAAATTTGAATATGAAATCACATAAATGAAAACTTTTTTAATTTCATCTCAAAATGAATGACGCAGGAGCTTGGAAGGTTTAAATGCTTCTCCATTTTGGCGCTTTTTGGCTATTTTTCATTACTTTTCACTTTTTTGTTAAATGGAACTTGAGATGTGTGACTTTACTTTGGTGAGGAAATAAAACAGACTATTTCAGTATATCTTGTTCAGTGGAATTGCTATTTTTTTACCTTTACAAATTTAGATGCTTGTGAAGAGAACAAGATGCAACAAGGCTTCTGTTGTTAATGCCTGAAGTTGTTGAAGGCGACGACGAGGTTTTCGTTTCGCCAAAATGACACTCAGATCTATTCCTTTATTGCAATCAGTCATGTGTAAAATAATTTAAAGGTTTTTTTCTTGTAAACAACCAGGAGCTTGTCCACCGGGTTTTAATTACGTTGATACTCTAAGCTTTTCATAAGCAGAGAAACAGCTTGTCATTTGCAAAAGATGGCGAAATTTTAATTTCAAAAATGTGATTTGCAAAATTCGCAGCCATATGTGAATTGATCTTAATGGTTTTTCTACGTCATAAATTACTTTGTTGCAATTTGCAATTATCTTTACAAAAACATTGATTATCATTTTCAACTTTTTTTTAATCCATTTTAATGCAATCTAATTCCATCAGTGCCAAGATTGCCATTCTAAGCTTAATTTGAAGAAGTAATCATCAGAGATGATGTTGTTGAATTTACTGACCATATGTTAGAGACATTAGACCTACTCTCAGGGGTGTGGCTAGCCTCTAGTCCCGTGGGCCCGGCCTACAATTGTTTTCCGCCCGCTTGACTTTTCTAATATGACTCTTACAAATGTTGAAACAAAAATTGAAATTTCTCAGGAAAAAGGCCTACAACAAGTCAAAGAGCTGGCTACAACGGCTTGCTTTCAATCAAACGAGTTTGATCAATTTTAGTCCGTTTTATCAAACACTCATCAGTTTGTTTTAGAGAACGACGACAGAGACAAAATGTCCATGTAATCTAAACAAGGAAATAGCGAAGCAGAGTTTACTTTAACCAAAGTTTCCATTGCTGTGACTTTTAATGTAGCTGACATGGAATTTGTTGTTTTCATTAGGAAAATATTTACGCCAACAAATTAGGGAAACACTTGAAGTAAGCCATGAAGCCCTCAATGGGAATTATTTTGGTGAAAATGTTCATGAATAAATGTAAATCTAGGCCATAGTTAAAATGGTTCAGGGTATCAGGATACAACTTGCATTTTTTTTTAAATTTCCTGTTCAACCTTTTTTCATGGCTTTCAATTTACCTTAGTATAATTTGGAGATGTCTGATGATATCTTTCTTAGATTTAAGAATTTATACTTAGGTATTCAGAGCACGCTTTGTAATTAGAACCCGTTATGTGGTCAAAAGTTTAAGGTATTCTGTATCACAGCTGTTTTAAAAGAAATTTTTGTCAAATCAATGTTAATTTTTGACAGATTTTCATAACTACCATTGGTATATGCTGGTATAAAATGTAATAGTTAACCTTGCACATGGTTGAATATGATGTAACGTAGGATTTTAAAAACAAGCTGGGACAATTTCGACTAAACATTCTTTTTATAATGTCAGTGTATTTGGTGTGGATTGTTTTGATGCTATTTGTATTTAAAGTTGAAGCTAAGTTCATTTACCTAAGTTTTTATTCAATGACTCATTAACTCCCAAGTTGTAAAGAAAAATTCTCCCAACTGATAAGAATGTGATTCTTTGTTGCTTCATTCTGAGAATTCGATAAAACATAACGTTTCTAATGAAAAATAATCCGCTAGTTTAGATTTCCTCTAATTCTTATTGACACCATGTTTGTCAGTGCATTAATTTTGTGAGGAGAATTTAAGTTATGATCAATCTTGGGAATAAATGGGTTCATTTTAGTGTCTCCGTTTAGCGCGTATTTTACTTAATGCCTTGAACAATTTAATGCAGTTTGTATTGTACTTTTTTTTACTTTTTTGTGTAAGAGAAATAGAGAGTGTATAAAATCCAAAAACTGCGTATGTTTTCATTGTCTGTCTCCATATTCTAAGGATTCGCGTGAGATGCAGGGAGAACAGATCCTACGGGGACTTCAATGCTTGTTTTGACCCGCGCGCGCCAAGTTGATAATCTTTGCAGCTGACAGTGTACTGACATTCCATGTTTCAAGCCCCCACCCACTTAACAAACGCTCGTCGACTCTTCGATTGTGTCTCTTTCACTGTCTACCGTTCTCCATATTGTCACACGATTTTGAATGCCGAAGGACGTGTTCATACTGTTACCTGTGTGCGCCCTTTTTACCTTTTTACACCTTTTCACATTTGTGCATCTCTTTTTTCTCCTTCCTTTTGTTCCTTCCCTTTTTTTCATCGTACTTTTCCTTTATTCCCATTTTTACGCGCACTTCTTTCATCGCCCTCAACTTTATTCTTCTACGCGCTTCATTAGACGCGACTATCTCCTTATCTGTTTCAGTTTTCATTCGTCTCAATCCTCGCGCAACGTCAGGTTTCTTACAACTCGTATACCTCCTTAGTTCCCCAGAGTAGTTGTTATTATGCTTATTTTGTTCACTTTAGGATGGTGTTTTCTTAGCATCATGTCTTGTAAAATCCTAGTTTTCCTTTCGAATCATTCCCAGTCCACAAGGGGTCTCAATTTTAAGTCTCACTTGCCAGTGTTTGCTCTCCTCGGTCCTCTCATCACAGTAGCAGCTATAAAACGAAAGAGCTCCCTCCAAGTCTCTGCGACATAATCGATGCATTTTGTTGGAAACGAGTCCTTCAATGTCCAAATTAAGGCTTCTTCTATCATCTGATTGGGAATGGATCAAACTCTCGCCCAGGGTCCACCTACATCGCGAGTCCAAGATGGCAGCAGGCCAATCCACAGACTTCTCCGTGTCGGTAGCCGTCATCTTGGATGTAGACGCAGAGAGGACCTTGAAAAAGTGTTTTGACAAGACAATAATCAAGAAAGGTTAAGTTATTGTAATGCTTCCTAAGAGGTAGTGATAACAGCCCGAGAGATTCATTAGGAGCAAACAAGTTCCGTCGATTATTGGACTCCATGTCTCCTTACGTTGTAGAACAAACTCCTCGAATACGTACGCCTATATGCCCCTCTCCTCCTCCCCTAAATAGCACTATACATCCCTTTATTGCAACTTTTAAAATTATACAGCACAATACAACATTACACCACTGAGTAGCACTGTAAATCCGTAAAATGAAGTAACTGTGCAGCGCATCACAACAATATGAACCCCTAAATAGTACTATGCTTCCCTCTACTGAATTTTTTTCATCATACAGCGCTCTATAAACTATTGCTCCAATTTGGCACGAAAATAATTGTGGATATTTGTCCGCGGACATCATCTATTCCAAGATGCCAAAACTGTGAGCTTCGAGGGACAATGTCCAAGGACAAATATCCGAACATATTTTCGTGCAAAATAGAGGCTATTGTGATTTTTATCCTTCAATTATTTTGCAACGCTCGTGAAAGAATTTTTATGAACAGCTCACTGAATTGAATTGAATTTGAAACGAAGACTTATCGAGGTAGACGTAAGGTTTGCGAATTGGGGAATATCGCTTGTGTGATATTCTCGGATATCACCCAGTATTAGCTGGGGGATATTTAGTCACTTGCTGCGTTTACACCAATTGCGCGCGAGCAAAAATATTTGATGGGTCATAAAAAGCAACAAGTACCCCTAGATAGCATTATACTTCTCGCTACTGCAGTTTACATCACTATACAGCGCTATACAACAATATCTACCCCTAGATAGCACTATACTTCACTCTTCTGCACTCTACATCACTATACAGCGCTATACAACAATATGTACCCCTAGATACCACTATACTTCACTCTTCTGCACTCTACATCACGATACAGCGCTATACAACAATATCTACCCCTAGATAGCATTATACTTCTCGCTACTGCAGTTTACATCACTATACAGCGCTATACAACAATATGTACCCCTAGATACCACTATATTTCACTCTTCTGCACTCTACATCACGATACAGCGCTATACAACAATATCTACCCCTAGATAGCATTATACTTCTCGCTACTGCAGTTTACATCACTATACAGCGCTATACAACAATATTTACCTCTAAATAACCTTGATCGGCATAACAGAATACATACATCGAAATTTTCCATGCTTTGTGTCTTTCTCCAAGGTTCATTAAATACTCGATGAAAACCTTTGCGTCGTTCAAAGAAAACGCAGCATTTTCCAGCGCATTCGTGACTCGTTTGACGTGAAGACATGAGATGGCGATTTGATTAAGCCTTTAAATTTCAAACTCTTAAAGGCGGGAAATATTTCTGAAACAAAATCATTCACGAACATCACTATTAATTCTGAATAATGTAAATTCGATTCACGTTTACTTTAGATAGTAAATTGTACTCCCATTTTGCCAATCATACAAAGAAATCAATACACTAAGCAATGCCTTCAATAAGACACAGTTACACAGTTGTAAATCTCCATCCTCATCCTCAGTAGAACTATGCTATCACAAAGGTGGAATAATCGCGGAAGAATAACCGCACTTAAGACCTTCCTATATACCAAGGAATTCGTGCCACTGGATTCGACATGTGCCAGTAACCTACTTTCACATTTAACGTGACGTTCAGCTAAGATCAGCAAACTGTTTCTTTTTTTCTTCATTTTAAACGATTCCAATCCTAATAGTGGTATCATATTTGCAGAAGAAAGCTAATGTCAACTCGAGACTCTGCATTAATTTTTTTTGATGAAATGAAACACAACAAACCAGAGATACCACGTACTTAAAACACTAACCGTTTAAACATTTTCTTCCACATGACGCTCTTAACGGGCTCAACGAGCTGCCAAAATTCTCTTCAAATCCGTTTTCGTTTGTGTGATAGCTTGACTTCTCTTTCGATTTGACAGTTCAGTTCGACAGTTTGACTGTTAA